TAGAAATCACCGGTCGTTGGGACCTCGATGACTTTTAGCACCAAAATAGATGGTTTTGGCAGGTAAGTTTAACCTGTGTGTATGTATGTGTATGTATGTATTTATCTATCTACCTGAATAAACATTTCTACGCAGCTTCCAACTATGCTGGAAGCGACTTCTGCCTTGTAAGCATTCCTGTACCACTTCAATAGAGTTTTTAAGGGCTTCGGTCATTTACTCCAAATATACTGAGTGATACTGATACTGACTGAAAATATTTTTAAAAACGATAGTCAAGACGAAGATGCAACAACACACTATCAGGCAGATTCAGTAGGACAATAGAACTATTAGTACAATTCTTTTCAGGAATAGTGTAGTACTAATGATACTGATAGTATTAATACTAGCGATGGGAAGTCCAGTACGAAAAGGCTAGTAGTACAAAACGAGCAGTATTAATAATGGTAACCGTACAGCTTCTGCTAGTAATATTGGTAACACTTATGGTGATAGCCGTAATATTTATGATACTAGCAATTGCTACAATGCTACAGGAATAGTGTAATGCTAGTGATAATAGTAATACTGGTGATAGTAAGAATGCAATTTATAGTAAGCTCCAGTAACGATAAAATAAAATAGGTGATAATAATTGTAGTATTGATGGTGATAACTGGTGATACTGTAAAGACCTGGTGACGTGAAGTTCGTGGGTATTGCGTACACATCCCAGCGGAGGTCCAGGCTTCAATAAATTCTCGGCTCGCCCTGCTTCCAGCATTGGCGGTTATCTTGACAACTACGAGGTTGAACTTATGACCACACGTTAAGGCAGTCTTAGAAGCGCCCGAGCACATTGGCGTGGGACTAGGTGTTGGAATTGCACACCGGCTCAAGGCTGCCATGTGCAGCAAGGTCATGAAAGTTAAACACTATTTACATCCGAGCGAGAATTCGGGCCCGGTGTATCGCATCACATGCTTAAACTGTCTTTATAGCTACACAGGTCAACCGGAACGCATGCTCGGATCGCGTTAACATGAATAAAAACCCGACAGTGTGACGATGCGACAAAGTAACACGAATTGCCCCCCATATCTACGAAACGGGCCATGAGTTCAACTCCACAGGTGTCAAGATAATCAACCACGCCTGAAGCAAGACAAGCCAAGAATTGATTGAAGTCCTGGCCTTGGATGGGAACTCAGCCAATCGATGTGCCGATCTGGTGCTAGCATACGAAGCCCTGCACAGTCACCTCCAAATCTGCGTTATTGATCGCTGATTGGCCTGTACCCCTACAAATATGACTTGTTCCGTTGCTGCTACTATTTCTGGCACTGGATTCTCACAAATACCACAACAGCAGAGAAGTACTTTTTGACAATTCACTGTGTACCTCACTTTGATCTAGATAATTTTAATCACATTAAAATTGCAGTGCAACGGCCTTTAATAGGCTCATGCGATGGGTGCTCTTGTTTTGAGGCCAAATTAACAGGAAGTGCTGGCACATGTTTCAGCATCTACCACTTGCAGTTGCTCGTGTAGTTTGGCCTAAATTCACAGCCTACGCAGAAATCTCCGGTGAAAACGCTTTTAACCCCTGCGTGCGGCTTGTTTGTCCTCTTCAAAAGTTGTACAATCCAATGACTTACGAATCGAAGTCTTTCATATCTCGCTAACAAGACACCTCCAGTTCTCTTGATCGCCTTTGAGTGGTAGATAGGCGTTTCTCAAATTATTTTTAGCTCGTCTTTAAATTTTGGCAACATTTTCATCGGATGGCAGTCATTCTTACTTGGCATCACTGGTTTGCTTGAGAGCGATGTTGAACAAACCAAACAATACGGCTGCGAGTCTTCTCCTCGATAAAGGCAAAACTACATCCGTTCTAATAGTCAGTATATTTGTGTCTGAATGAACTGAATGCCTAAGTTCAATTTTCTTTCCTCTACTGTTGCAATCTCCCTCGTTTTCCTCAGTTATCACAATAAATTTCTAAAGTTGAAAGTAAAATATATGTAAGGTATATCGCTACAGCAGTTATGATACAAAACACTTCAAAAACGTTTAGGATGAAATTGGAAACTGAAAATTTCAAATAGAAATGTACTTTCTGTATTCAGGCGAAATCATTGACAATATAGGGCAGAACAAACCAGAAACCTACATCATTATTGACCCTACAGGCAGCGCAGGTGCTAGCCTAGGGGTCCTACATGACAGGAAACATACATGTAGGTGTACCAACGTTTTTTAGAAATTTTTTATATGGGGTTTATCATGCAGACGTACTTATTACTAGAAAAGTACAAATGCACTTCTGGTAAACTTGGGATGTCGAATTAATACCTGAATTTGCTTTTACTGTCTGCACTGCTGATTTCGCAGAAAGTTCAGCTCCTCCGTCCTGGCGTTTTTTACCAAGTACCTCAAACAAGACTACTCAGTGTATATTTCTGCTTATATAAAATGGCCAAGAAAGCGAATTTGAGAAGATAGAGCACAGTTCATATCAAAAAAGAGGTTTAGTCCGCGTATTTAAGGCGCAAACATGAACAATTTGCTGTTCAAATACCTGCGGCCAGTAGGCACGCACATCCCCGTTTGTATGGCCTACCTAAGATCCCCAAAGGCGGCCTGCCAGTTCGGCCGATTTCGGACATGCGAAACTCGTCATATCATATGATAGCGAAGTGGTTGGCAGCTGTAGCAGCAGCTAGCACCACATAGCTATCAAGATACATTCCAATTTATCGACAGGGTCAACGACATGAACTTAAACGGCATGATGACGCTTTCCCTAGACGTCTCATCGCTGTTTACAAACCTTCCGGTTACAGAGACGGTAGACTACATCTGCAAATTCTTAGTGGCCAATCAGATAGAAGAAGGAATACTAACTGCTGCATTAAAGGAACTATTACTAAAATGCGTATTAAATGTGCAGTTCCTTTTTGGTAACCAAATATATAGACAAACAGACGGCGTCGCTATGGGCTCGCCTCTCGGACCTCTCTTGGCTAACATCTTCATGGGCAAGCTGGAGAAATTTCAACTCAGCGAGCAGATGCATGAGTTAAAACATTATGGTCGATATGTCGATGACATCTTCCCCATCGCCCCAGCAGAAGTCGATGTAAATGCGCTTCCAAATACTGTTAATTAAGCACACCCCCCCATTAAGTTCACCTTGAAGGTGGAGACGGCAGGTTCGCTTCCCTTCTTGGATGTCCTCCTAAGTCGAAAATCTGACGGTAGCGTCCGAAGGAGTGTTTATCGTAAGAAAACCTGGTCCGGACAGTACACAAACTTTAACAGTTTTGTATCCATCCAACAGAAGCGTAATTTGATCCGTTGCTTTTCGCAAAGAGCCAGAAAAATCTGATCGGCAGATACTATTGAAATGGAGCTCCAAAAACTCCAGGACCTGCTTCAGGAGAACGGATATTTTGAAAGATTCATCATAAAGAATATGACGGAGAAAGAAACAAGGTCCAACAAACCCACTGTAGAAAAGAAGACCCTATTCCTCAAAGTCCCCTTTCAAGGGGACGCAGCAAGCAACCTCCTAAGCAGACGCCTCAACCAAGCCGTATCACGAACCTTCCCAACAGCGAAAGATCGGGTGTTATTCTCAACCAACCCGGTCCTGCACGGCAAAGGGAAGGATAGGTTGCCAGCTCGGACCACTTTTATGTGCATCCACTCTTTCAATTGCTCCTGTGGAGCAGGTTATATCGGTCGCACGAGTCGACGCTTATTAAAAAGAATAAGGGAACACCTCCCGGCATGGCTGGCCAAAGGTGAAGTCAGAAGTATCAACAGCTCTGTTCTTGCCCATATGGTTGACTCCGGACATCGTGTGGAGCCCAGCGAAGCCTTTAATGTAATTTACAAGGTCCCATCAAACTACCCAAGCCCCCCTGGGTCAGCGTTTGCTAGCAATAGCAGAAGCAACCGCAATCCGATTGAGGAAGCCGGTATTCTGCGTGCAAAAGAACCTCCTGCAAACCCCGAGCTTGGCATGGCCAACGGTTACGTAACTGCCTGCATCTTTCCGCGCTTTCTTCCCCTTCAACCTCCCCACTCCTCTGTCCGGACTCAACAAACCCTCATCAACTCGCAACCAGCTGAGTATTATCAACCTCACCCCCTCCCATATCCCCATGACTAATTTGCCCGTAGTGATGAGCATAATTGCCAGCATGCGACTTTTTACCCCTTCCCTATATAAATGTAAGAGTCCGAGAATAATTTATCGGAAGCTACGTATGCTCGCCAGATATTCAAATACCGTTTGCTTGAAACTTCCTTTGCCTATAATGCGTTATCTTAATTTAGCAATGTAACTGTAATAGCATAAATCGATGTTGTAATCTACCATACTGGCAGCACAGGTACTAACTAAAAGCCCAGACACGTATTTCGGCGGTATTCTGCCGTTGCTTGACACAGCTGCGAGGGGTCCGGCTCATCAGTGCGGCCCCCAGCATTTCCTGCTGATTGGTTAAAAATCAACGTGCCATCTCCGTTTGTCAACCACACAAACACACGACCTTTTTTCTGCAGGAGTAATATCCCCCTCCCCCTTTTGGCGCGAAGAGCTCACATGAATTTGGCAACGGCTGATTTATGTAACAAGTGCTTGTCAAGGTATCAAGCGCCTTGCTGATGTTTGACAGTAATGCCAGCAGCTTCCATAGCCCTCGAGACGATTACCAGATCATCAACGTCAGATGATCGAACGAAATAGAAGATGGAGCCTGCAGGTATTATGCCAGCACCCAGCGCGAAGGCCAGATAAGGCAGCTCCCTCCCCACTTCGTAGTTCAGTGCCCCAAGTCGAGCGTAACAGAAAGCCAGACAGGTTAGCGACTGAGGTGACTGCGACCTCAACAGGTGACTCATAAAACGGATGATGCTCAAGGTAGCAGAGGTGCACGCCAGCTGACTGCATTCTACTGTGTGTGAAGGACCCATCATACCAATTTCAAAGTAGCTCTATCTGAATCCTGAAGGGAATTGGCATAGAAAACATTAGGAAATCAGAATTACCTTCTGACTAGACAGACAAGTTCTAAATGAAACTATAGTCAATTTGAGACACCCGTTAAGGTAAAGCGTTGTGTAGCAGCGAGGTTGGGTCCACCTTGTTGTCTACCCTGAGTTATTAAATTGAAGAATGTTAACACCCACCATATTATCTTCGACTGAACAGTTTTCGAATTCTCCACGTCCATCTCCAGTGAAATTCTGTCTAACCTACATACGATTGTTCCCCTCTTCCAAAAGCTATCCTCCTCCCCTGTTCCGCCCCCTTGTTTTAATCCCCTTCTCCCCACAATACTGAAGACCCCCCGCTACCTCAAGAGACAGCTGTTTCACCTCGCTAAGATAAAAAGCCGTGACGGACTTTGTGGCGGATTGTCAACAATGCTGTGCGCCCCCTC